TCTTTAATACCAAATCCCAGTTCTGTTTGGGAATGAACATGAAACCATCATATTATAGTGAAGAACCACCACTAATGAGCATTTTAATCTCACATTTATTATTGAGTGGTACATTTAGACCAGCACACCAGAAGTGGGACAAAGCTATTTTGTATGAATATTTGGTCACCCATCCTGATGGTGTGAGTGACATTGATGGGACATACCAGTATGTTCAGGAATTCCCAGGGCCTTGTTTTGCCTTTGACAAGGCTGCAAATAGCCATTTTCAGCATGATGATGATTGGCCACTCACAGCTAGGGTTTTCCATGAATGTCTCAGTCACATTGCCACATTACATTGACTTGCCTGATCTTCAAATTTATTGTCCATCAAACATTTGTGGGACTGGATGGGATGCCACAGCTTTGACTGTGTGAGGGATCTGAAGTTGCAGTTGCAGCATCTGTGGATAAATTTGTTTTAGGATATCATATATATATTATTGTAAGATAAATGCTTGCATGCTCAACCATATTTCCACATGTTTCCAGAGAAAAGGAGGTCCTACAAAGTATTAAAGGTTTTTTTTAAAATATACTGTTATTTCAATGAAAGTTATCTTTTTGCTACAATTTTGTAATCATTAATATTATTAACATTGTCATTATATTTGCACTAATAGTTTCATTAGATTCTAATATTTTTTTGGTACAAACTTTTTTGTTAATGAGAATATTTTAAGTCTTTTAAAATAGAAATCAAAAGTAAAAATTATACTTTTTATTTTTATAATATTTCATCAATTAGTTAATTTTGCTTATTTATAAATTCTAATGATTAAGATTAGAAAATTCTGAATATATTCACATACTAGAATATATTTCATAATAATGAAAATTATACAGACTATTGGAAATATTCAATTCTTTGAGTGTTAAGTTGAAAGAAGGTACTTTGAAAATTTTTATTAAATGATTAGACTTTATCTACAAATTGAAGTTTAAGTGTTTCAATACTCAAAATTTATTTAACAATATTTAAAATAATAATAATAATAATTTAAAATATTTAACTATTCTAGCATTTTATTATTTTAAAAATTTTTGGATAAATTATATGTTGGTAACACATTTATTCTTTTCAATAGCTAACTGGAATAATTCAAGATATGGTAGATGGGCAACCTCATTTTGATGAGATTTTAAAAGTAAGTTATTGAGAGATTACCTTTGCATATATTTAACTTTGAATATTGGAAGTATTTTTTTAACTATAGTAGTCCATTTTTTAATGAAACAATAAACAAATTAAATTAGCTTTAATTTTTCTATTAAAAATGTTGTTGATTTTTATAAAATTTCAAAATTTTTAATTTCAAGCATTATTGTCAATAATGCAACTAATAAAATATTTTGAACTATTATATATCTTTTATATTTGTAACAATATTACTTACATTCTAATATGCAACTCTATTAAGATAAATTTATTTTTTTATATATAAATATCAGTTTAGTGATTAAAAAATAATAATGGCAAATTGACTAGTGACTTAGTTCAGCATTCCATTCCACATTATCTACTGATGCATGTTTTTTGTATGTATTTTTAAGATTGCTTCTGACAATTTTGTGTAAATGCTATTCCAAAGCTTCATATAGAAAAACCATTTAAACATTTAATTGCAAAGAAAAATAATAAAAATTTAGGTTTTGTAGCATCATCTTTTTATTTCATCCTTTGGTAATTTTTGTAGATTTTATGACACATTATCTTTTAAGTTAGAGAAACTTTTCCAAATGAATTCTTTTTTTCTTTTTGTTTAACTATATTCCCTGATTAGTGAGGATTCAATTAGTATAGTGATTTTCTGGAATGAATTAACAGACCTTACTAAGGTATCTCTGTATATACTGGATGATATCACTTACTCAACTGCTAAGTAGACAGAGTGCTTATGTTTTATCTTTACAAAATTAATATTGGATTGTATTTTTGTATAATTAGTGTAATGTGTTTTAATTTTTTTAATCACAAACTTAATGTTTATTTTTTGAATTTGTAATACTGAGTTCTGATGTTCAAAAAATGTTTTTTTGTTCAAAAGAAATAAAAGAATAAAATTTTTGTTCAAGTATTTCAAAAACTTCACTAGTGTGTTCATTTTTGAGATAGGTACTAGTGAAGAAACTCAACTTTGGGAATCACTGAAGATGATAAAAAAATTGTCTCATTGGTCAACACTAACAGAAACTTTGTCATTGCTGACTTTGACACTAAGAAAGATTAGCAACCTTCACATTTTCTGTTTAATAGCATTCAATATGGTGTTGTCCAGTTTGCAAGACCATATATTATAAAAAGATGAAAATTTCCAGAAAAATACATTATATACAAATTATAGTAATAAATTAACTAAGTAAAAGTAAGATTTATTTACGTTGTTTAATTCAAATCAAAGGCAGAAAACTGATGATTGACCAATATCTTAAACTAAGAGGTTATATATAGATATCCCTTGTATGACATGGTAGTTATGTTCCAAAAAAGTGCCATGTTATGCAAGTCTGTGCTATACAAAACAAAGGACTAATATAAAGCATGGGGTTAGGTTCCAAAAGTTAACAAATGAATGCTAATCTTTTTCATTACTAAGTGAAATATGTTTACTAAAGCAACCAGTAATTTATTTCCAATCAATAATTAACTAACAATCACAATTAAAAGTACTGTATTATGCATTAATATTAATTTTAGTTAAATGCCCTCATTTGGGCATTTTCTTTTTACAAAGTATTGTCATTTTCTGAACTTTTTTTGTTGATCTTGGTTAGAAATATCAATGTGTGTATTTTTTTTTTTTTAATTTTTACCATAAAAGATTTTTATGGATGACAAAGTAAAAATATATTATTAATCAAAAATTTGTTCTAGTTGGTCACATTTGTTCAATTCAGGACTGGGCAATATTTTTTCCAGAATTTGTGTTTGAATACCAAATTATTCAAGTTGGGAACAGTTCAAGTACCAATATAACACTATTTCATTTGTTATTTTTACAAATGATTACTTACCTATGGTTAAAATAAGCTTAATAAACTTTACTAAATTTGAAGATTAATGTATAAAAACAAAATACACTGATAGTCTTAAAGGCTAAAATCGGAAAGCAAAAACAACGACACCTGGTTGATAGGAAAGTCAGGACAAAGAAGAAAAAATTGTACCAATAGTTTTCCATAAAGTAAACCTGATGAAAGGCACAAAATAAACTGAAAATCCATGTTCTAAAATCCATGGGCAAATTTGAGATAACATGCATGTTTATTTGAATAAAAGGAATATTGAATAAAGCAGTTTGCACTTAAAAGTTGTGAAATTTTGTATAAAGAATTTCTCAAATTCTCAAGCTGTGTTAGAGCAAAACCAGAAACCATGTTGTATGGGAATTTCCCTAATTTTTGAGCCATGTTGTATGAGGGATACCTGTAAATAAAGATTTCTGTAATGTCAGTCTCAGTTGTATATTTAACTTTATATATATCCTCATTTTTATGAATTAGTTACACAAAAATGCTTATAACTATTGATTATAGATACCATTTTATTAAGCAAAGTTATCTAGTGGATAAGTGAAATTTATCACTAGCAAATTAAGCAAAGCACTTATTAACTGAAAGCAACCACAGTTGAACATCCATATAATGAATTGCCATCAGGAAATGTGGAAAATTTATGTAAAAAAATTTGTTAAAATAGGAAATACATTGACAGTAAAAGGAAAAAATTAAATGGGTAATGATCTATTTCCACAAAACTATATCATTGTTTGAATTGTAATTTTCCTTTAATATTTAAGCATAATTAACTTTATTGCACTAAACTCTGTATTACACATCATTTAATTAATGATGATATATCAATGTGGATGATATATCACTGTATGGTCAAGATGCAGAAATTGTTATTTTATTTTTAATCAATTTAAACATTTATTCATCAAGCTTTCAAAATATCATTATGTAGATATTAAACTTCATTAAATAGGGATATTTTTAAATGTAAAAAAGATATACTTTTAATATTTCTTGAAGAGAGATATTCTTAGTGTAGAACTTTATGTGGAAGTTTGACTGTATTTGATAAATGCTAAATCATAACTACAGTCGACCCCCTATAACACGGTAGATACGTTCAGAGTTTTATGAATCCAGCTTCTAGGAGTCTAGCCAATCACAGCCCGGCATGTATGCAGTTTACGGACTACGGCTGTTTGAAAGATTTCTTCCATAAAATTAATCGATTCTAGACTAATTCGACTCAACATTTCCAAAATATGTATAATTTTTTGGGAAAAATCCATATAAACTATGCTATAAACAAAAAATTGTAGGATTACTTACCGAGTGTGCACCGTTCAACTACGCTGTTGCTTAAGCTTGTTTTTGTCATGGAGATTGTCATCGAATGGCGCTCGCGTGCTTCCCAATAAATTATTTTTTTTGTGAAAAATTCGCTGAACTTTAGAGACATCATTAATATAAATATAATTTTTATGGACATTAAATAATAAGTGGTTTTTGGTAGGTCCACTGCTCATTTAAACTCAATGGTTTGTGCAATCCTGTTGCGACACGAGTTGGCGATGACATTTTACCGAATTATAGGAGTTTTTTAGCATGTTTGTACGAATACTGTCGCAGTTTTTTTTGCTGTGATATAGGAATCCAAACTATAGGAACCCGTGTTATAGGGGGTCGACTGTATATATGCATTTAATTGTGTTTTATTAGATTGTAAAATTTATATGGATATTATATAATAAAATGTAGTATATAAAATATATTAATTTTGCTCATTTTTTCAGTATTATAAAAAGTTTTGAGGAATATAATCTAATAAACAAAGAGAACTCATTGCATGTTGCAATTAATATTTTGCAAATTTTAATTTATGAAAGCAAATCAATGATTGTCTTATTTAATTAGATTAAATAATATATTTTTGTTTTCTTCAGAAATTTCAAGGATGGATGGAATCAGAAAATCTCTTAAATCCTGAAATAAAGTTTGCTTTTGTTACGTACTCTGATTTTGATTTTAATAAAATGTAGGTATCTAATTAAATTTTATTAAATGAAAGTTAATAATTTTAATAATAATTTTTGCTACATTTCTTCTTGGTGCCATATCAGATTCCTGACGTCGGCGACACCTGGCGTAGGTTTGTAATCCGCCAAGGTGTATACTAGGGAAAGTTACTACCCAGAGTGGTTTCCCGTTGCCTTCTCTGGGGCGCGATGTTACGCGAGGGGAACTAATGCCTTCCGGGAGGACTTTTATGGGGAACTGGCCTCCTATTTAGTCGTTATTGGCAAGGAGAAAACCCGGAAAACTCCAAGCAGCCAGCCTGTCCGATCGTGGCGCGAACCCACGACCGAACTCCCAGTGTTTAGGGTACGAAGACCACTCGGCCACTGGTGGGCTTGCTACATTTATATATTAAATATTTTTATTATAGGTTGCCCTCTCAATGTAAATTTCTTGGTATAGATGTTCCATCATATATGACAGAATGGATTGATATTCAAAAAGTAAAACATTTATTTTTCCGGATATTATTAGTAAACTTCATAAAATAACAACTTTTAATATTTTAGTGTTTTGCAGATGAAACTACACAATGGCCTAATATGGGATTGAAAGGAGTTTTAGACTATTTAAATATCACCCCAGTTGGCAGGCTTCATTCTGGAATAGGTAATTAGGTTCTTGTCACTTTTATTGTCTAAATTCTAATCTGTTCATACTGATGATTTTTTACTTTTCCAAATCTGTTAAGAGTTTTTTTTATATGTTGAAAAATAGTTAAGTTCTCAATGATATAGTTTTCCTTTTTAATTATTTTTTTTAAATTTAAGTTATTGAAGTAGAACACACTGAGAAACATTTAAATTTCAATAAGTAAAATTCATAAAACAATTTAAAAAAAAAGTAATTTTATAATTTATTAAGTGTTATATAATTTTATTTTTTTTATGAGTTTACAATTTCTGGCTAACATATCAGTTTTAAGCACCAGATGAAAAAAATTGTTAAAAATATAAAAACATACTTTGAACAATTTAAAAAATTTTATGCATTTCATTTAAATGCATGTAATCATTGAAATGTATTGTATTCCAAAATAGTTAGTATAGGGTTGGTGAAAGTATTGAATTTTACTAAGAAAAATACAAATCACCAACAACCACTATTAGAACAAACAAAAAAATTTGCATATGGAGCCTGGCATATGCATGATGTGGAAGGCAGAAACAAATGAAATAAACTAACATGACAACATGAAATAAACTAAGTAAACATAAAAATAATAAGAAAAAAAATTTATGATAATATGGGCTATTTTATGCTACAAATAATACATTGGGCTTTGGGTTGTTTATATATATATATTGTATTTATGATGATGCATATTTAAATTTAGTTCTAATTTAAATACGCATTCAATATTCTGTTTGATTTTACAAACCTGATGACCATTCAAAATGGTGGAAAATGTTTGTTTTTACGTTAAATTACATGTTTGTTGCTGGTTGTTGGAGATTTGTATGTTTATATTAGTACTTCCACCCAGTATATTGTTGGTGATAGACATATTGAATTTATTTTAATTGAAAGAAAGATTTAGATTTGGTCCAATAAATTTGTTTTTGTAGAGAGAGTGAAAATGATACAATTGAACATTTGAGTCATAACAGGATTAAAAAAGATGAGTTTTTCAAAAATGTGTTTAATTTCTGAAATAATTTTCCATTTTAAACTTTTTTCTGAAATAGAATTTATTTTTAAAGTTACCGAGTTAGAAGTTGACTCAGAAATTTTAAACCTTAAAACTCAGAAGATATATTTGAAATTTCATCAAAATTTGTCCAGCTAATTTAACATTGATTTTTCTATTTGCTTTACACTTTAAATTTGTTAATTTGATTTTCCATTGATTAACCAACATTGGTACAAAAAAAATAAGACTAAGTTTTCATAAGTCTTTTAATATCTGTGACATCTTTAATAAAAACAAAATGACATAATATTTAGAAATTATACATAAATATAATGTACAAATATATTACATTACAATTACATTAATACAAATGCAATAAATGTGATGTAAATGTATTTGTACATCAAATATTTCATTTTTTCACTTTTGTCTTCACTTGCAACATACTAGCAAGGTTGAGGCCGAAGTTTTAAATGCGAAAACGTGTATGTCAGACGTTTAGTGCCGCTTTCCTGAAAGCCTAGAAGTTTGACAATGGTGTTTGTATAGTCAATGGAATCGTGCTTGACATTCCAAACACCATTGTCAAACTTCTAAGCTAACAGGAAAGTGATGCTGAACGCCCGACGTACACATTTTTGCATTTAAAACGTCGGCCTCAACCTCACTACTATCTTGGATATGAAAATAATTTAATTTAGTTGTTATTATTATAGGGAGAAGGTGGTATTATGGAACCCCTCCATTTCAAACTGATAATAAAGGTGAACTGTAGCGGATTGTGGCTGAACTGCACTAGGCAGACATCCATAGCAAGGGGAAAACCCATTTCACTTCAGTTAAACAGTTGTCCATAATGAATTAGCATATTTGTGTTTTTCGAAATTCGCAAGTTTTGAATGCTAAGTGAATTTAATTATTTATAAAATATAAATCATGTAGTTGTAGGTTCACTGGTGCATGTATTCCATTCCAGAGACTTAGGGGTACATATTAATCTGTGTGATGATCACGTTTTTTAAAATTTGGTCTTGATGGTCATAAGTTAATTCAAGATGGCGATGCATGAAATACTGACCCCATTGGTGCTTTTAATATGGAACCCATCTAACTTTTGTAAAAGTGTGGTAGATGAATGAAAAAATAGAAAGAAAGAAAATGAAAAAAGTAAAAATAGATACCATGTTTCCCCGAAAATAAGACCTAGCACAGATTTTGCTGAATTGCGAAATATAAGACCTCCCCTGAAAGTAAGACCTAGAGAAGTTTTTTTCAGTCGTAATGATCATCGACAGATGGTTGGAAGTGGCCGTTGGCTTTTTGAAAGTACAGCCACTGATTGGTCATCAGACAATTACACCACACGGCATGATTTGCATAAGACTATGGCTTGGGAATCACAGATTTGCATAACGTTACGGCTGGTGATGGCTAATTGGTCGGCCGGGAATCACGCCACATGACATTTGCATAGTGCTACGGTTCAGTAAGCACTAATTGGTCATCGAGTCCGATGTTGACGCTATAAAAAGGCGACAGTTTGACACACCGGATATATGTCATTCTTGTCTAAGTTTGACTTGGGAATTTTTTTGTTCAATAATAACTGTGAATTCTTCTTCCTGGAAAAAATAAGACATTCCCTGAAAATAAGACCTAGCGCATTTTTCAGAGCAAAAATTAATATAAGACACTGTCTTATTTTCGGGGAAACACAGTACCTAATACTATAGGAGTATTATATTTGTGATTTTTGTAAATGATTAGCTTCTTCTTTGTACATTTCTTTATTATTATTATTAAATCATTTTTGTGATAAAATACATTGGAGTAAATAATTTTGTAATTATTTAACATTCCTTGTACTTTTCTATTTGTTTTTATACATTAAAGCATTTTTTGAAAACATACAGTAAGGTTCCATATTACCACTTGGTTTTCCCTAAGCTTACTTTCTGACTTTGTACAGAAGCCTTCAAAAACCATACTTTAGGAACATCTAGTTTAATAGTTACCAGTACTTTTCACACAAAAAATGTGGGTGTAGTTATGATNTAGTGATTAAAAAATAATAATGGCAAATTGACTAGTGACTTAGTTCAGCATTCCATTCCACATTATCTACTGATGCATGTTTTTTGTATGTATTTTTAAGATTGCTTCTGACAATTTTGTGTAAATGCTATTCCAAAGCTTCATATAGAAAAACCATTTAAACATTTAATTGCAAAGAAAAATAATAAAAATTTAGGTTTTGTAGCATCATCTTTTTATTTCATCCTTTGGTAATTTTTGTAGATTTTATGACACATTATCTTTTAAGTTAGAGAAACTTTTCCAAATGAATTCTTTTTTTCTTTTTGTTTAACTATATTCCCTGATTAGTGAGGATTCAATTAGTATAGTGATTTTCTGGAATGAATTAACAGACCTTACTAAGGTATCTCTGTATATACTGGATGATATCACTTACTCAACTGCTAAGTAGACAGAGTGCTTATGTTTTATCTTTACAAAATTAATATTGGATTGTATTTTTGTATAATTAGTGTAATGTGTTTTAATTTTTTTAATCACAAACTTAATGTTTATTTTTTGAATTTGTAATACTGAGTTCTGATGTTCAAAAAATGTTTTTTTGTTCAAAAGAAATAAAAGAATAAAATTTTTGTTCAAGTATTTCAAAAACTTCACTAGTGTGTTCATTTTTGAGATAGGTACTAGTGAAGAAACTCAACTTTGGGAATCACTGAAGATGATAAAAAAATTGTCTCATTGGTCAACACTAACAGAAACTTTGTCATTGCTGACTTTGACACTAAGAAAGATTAGCAACCTTCACATTTTCTGTTTAATAGCATTCAATATGGTGTTGTCCAGTTTGCAAGACCATATATTATAAAAAGATGAAAATTTCCAGAAAAATACATTATATACAAATTATAGTAATAAATTAACTAAGTAAAAGTAAGATTTATTTACGTTGTTTAATTCAAATCAAAGGCAGAAAACTGATGATTGACCAATATCTTAAACTAAGAGGTTATATATAGATATCCCTTGTATGACATGGTAGTTATGTTCCAAAAAAGTGCCATGTTATGCAAGTCTGTGCTATACAAAACAAAGGACTAATATAAAGCATGGGGTTAGGTTCCAAAAGTTAACAAATGAATGCTAATCTTTTTCATTACTAAGTGAAATATGTTTACTAAAGCAACCAGTAATTTATTTCCAATCAATAATTAACTAACAATCACAATTAAAAGTACTGTATTATGCATTAATATTAATTTTAGTTAAATGCCCTCATTTGGGCATTTTCTTTTTACAAAGTATTGTCATTTTCTGAACTTTTTTTGTTGATCTTGGTTAGAAATATCAATGTGTGTATTTTTTTTTTTTTTTAATTTTTACCATAAAAGATTTTTATGGATGACAAAGTAAAAATATATTATTAATCNATATTAAAGTATATGTGTAACAATGAAACTTGAAACCGTACACTTAGCTGTTGACAACAGATGTTTTATATATATATAATCGAGATGAGTTGATGAATGATAAGTGCAGAGCCCAAACAGGAGTTGAAAGTTGAAATTTGGTACACAGTTAGGTTAGGGTACATCATAATATACACTAAGAAGGGACTTTTCAAAATCCCCCCAGGGAAAAGGGAGAGGGTTAAGGATTATCCTGGAGAACTCTGCTTCTACTGTACTATTTTAGATGTGGTGTTTTGCATTTTTATGGAAAATTGAACATATTTTTAGACCCATCTAAAAATTCTCTAAATAGCCTTGGAAGAGGGGGGCCTAATTATTGCACCTAATGAAAACAGGTAAGATTGGCTATAATTTAATAAACTTAATTTTTGCTATTATTTTTTGCCCAAGCAATGTCAGGCTCATCTGCTAGTAGTTATAATTACTTGTTTTATATGTGTGAGTCTTGTAATAAATTCTTTAGGATAATTTTTTGCCCTAATTTAAAAGTTGCTCACTTAACTGATGAGGGCCATTAATACCAGGGGCTGAAATGCATTTTAGCCGATATATAAGACATTAAACAATTAATGTGTATGATAACCCTTTCATTTTAATAATAATCTACAAATAATCATCCAACCATCAGCCAAATTAATTGGGCAGAAATTATGCTATAAATACTAATTAGAAATTACATGATAAGAAAAACTAGAGGTAGACATTAGATGCCATCTCTCAATGAAATTAGTATTTTAAAATTAAATTATAGTTACTAATTTCATTGAGAGATGGCATCTAATGTCTACCTCTAGTTTTTCTTATCATGTAATTTCTAATTAATATTCTACATACGTATAATAAAGTATATTTGTATTAAATGTTATTTAAAAAAAGGGATTGAAGGCTTATTATAATATAGAGTATTATTTTAACAATATTAATATTTATTAATACTAGGTAGCCAGTTAATTAAAACTCTGGTTTTTATACTGAAGCTAAAGGTAAAATTAATTTTGAGTTTTATTTCTAAGTCAATCAATTGAAACATAATATTTCGGGAAGTGTGGATAAAGTACTTGTCCATCTTGATTGATTTCATTATATTTCATTCAGGTAGAATTGAGTCTTATTTATAGCACTTTGTTTGTAAAGTGATGGTTTTGGTTTTGTTTGGTGGTGACAGAACATTTTGCTTTTAATACTCATGTATATATAGATAATGATACAGTGGAACCTCGGTATATGACCTTAATCTGTCCTGATGTTTTGACTTATACAGAATAGGACATATACCAAACCAACCTTTCCCATAAGAAGTAATTTAAAAATGATTAATCCATTCTCATGTAAAAAAAATGGCTGGCTTTAAACACCTCGATTTCCTGGCTAGTTCCTGCTTGATTTTTCATGAGATCAGCATATATCTTTTTAGATTTCTCGCAAATAATTGCTTCTGATACGTTGTCGCCAGCACACTGTTTTTCAGTTATCCAAAGCAGAAGCAATTTCTCACATGATCTAATGTCTTCAATCTCTGTTTAGAAATTGATTTAATCCCTTTTGCAATGTTAGCAGATTTAATAATGTCTTTATTTTTCATGATTGTCTATATCGTCATTCTCGGAATACGGTATGCAACAGTTAAATCTAGAATATGCATGCCACCTTCATATTTCTCAACAATCTCTTTTTTTCAGTTCCATTGTGATTCTAGTCATTTTTTTAGTTTTCTGTTTCTTTTCATTTGCCTTTTTGCAATTCATGATTAATAAAAATAATAAAATTTTACTTACAAATTAAAATCAGAAGAAATTTAACAAAGTTATAAACTGTAGCACTGCAAACGTCTAGTTTGGTGTAGTACACTGATAGTGCTACTTGTTCATAGATGGCGTGTATAATTAAATTAAGTCGTATACCGAGCAAATTTGTTTCATCCAAACAGGACGTATTCTGAATTGGACGTATTCTAAAGCAGACATATACCGAGGTACCACTGTATTATATATAATATATTATATTGTATTTGTAGGTATTTTTTATGCATAAAATACAGCTGAAAAGATTTTAAAAAAAGGCTCTGTTTTGGGGATTGGGAATGGATTAATTCATTTTATATTGTTTCTAATGAGAAAATTTTATTTTCCCATAAGAATTTGGAATTTTAGGAACAAATTAAGGTTTGACTGTATATGAAACTGAAAATTTTTTTATCAAGTTAGAAACAAATTTTTAAATTTGGAAGATGAAAATTTTTGAACTTAGTTCTTTCTTTCAATTTTTTTTAATATATAGATTTTTAAAAAATAAACTTGTTTTTAGTAATTATGTTTAATAATAGTTAATGGAAATAGTGTAACAGGATATAAATTGTGATGTCTGTTTATTTAAGATGATTGCAGAAATACAATAGCTATCATGAAGGCTTTGGCAGATAGAGGTTATGTTTTTAAAATAAATAGCACTTTTAGTAGGAAAAAAGGTAATTATTTTTATTTAATATTTTTAATTATATTACATTAAATTTTGTTGAGCAATTAGAAAAACAATACAAATATCATGAAATAGATAATATTTGGCACCCTATTTTTGCTTTTACAACATAATGCAAAATTATAAGATGTACTATGTTTTTGAAATTGAATTTTAAGATATTTTCTATAGGAAGTAAAATTTTAAATAAAAAAATCAATCTTATTAAATTTTGTTGAGCAATAGTTAGAAAAACAATACAAATATCATGAAATAGATAATATTTGGCACCCTATTTTTGCTTTTACAACATGATGCAACATTAAAAGAAAAGTTAATGTCAATATGAAGATACTTTAAGTATTAAAAAGTTTCGAGTTAAGAGATTTTTTTTATGCCATCTTACAACGGGAACATTTTGTTGTCAAAAGCCACTTTTGCAAGTTCAATGTGTTTTGAGTAAATATTTTTGATGCTCTGATATATGGGTTCTAAACAGTTGATATATACAGTAGAACCTCGATTATCCGGACCTCTATTATTTGGATTTTCGATTATCCAGATTGTTCAAAATAAACAAAAATTTTATGAATTTGCTGATTTGCACTTGGTGAATTACGACACTGCTTATGTACATGATGGAATGCATAACTTTTTTTGTTTCAACAACGTCTCACCCAGCACAGTAGTCGTAAACTCTTAAATTTTTTTTTCGTCNAAGAGTTTTGATCAGGTGAAGTTTCTTTATTGAAATTAAATGCAAAGTTTGATGAATCTAATATTGCAGTATTATCATTATTACCTTCTGTATTTGCAAACAAACTGAAAACAGAACTGTTATTTAGAGAAATTGAAGCATAAAAAGGATTATTATCAGTTGAAGGAGACTGAGCAAATAAAAAGGGCTGGTGGCTTGACTGATTATTAGTCTTCATAAGTAATGATAATGATTCAGCTTGTTGAGAAATTCCTGAATCATCTTGATAATTAGGTGTTTGGAAAGTACCTGGACCTAATGAAAGATCAAAACTTTTGTCAGATCTTTCGTTTGCTTTATTGGGAGTGAACATAAACCTTGAATTGTATGAAAATCCAGGAGATTTTACTGAAGGGACAAAACTAGTTTCTCTATCAAATTCAAAATCAATTGAAGATGTTTCAGAAGAATTTTGCCATGTCTGATTTTCTAAACTTTCATTTCTTTGAAAATTATCTTCCTTACTTGTCTGACTTGAAGCTAGTTTGTTCTCAATTACTAAGTTCTGATTAGAATCATCAAACTGCTGCAAAGTTGGTACATGGTCTGGAGTCATTTTGGTACATGATCTAGAGTCAAGATTTTGATAATTCTTATGGTATTGACTTTCTTGGTGTTGATATTGTTCTAGACTTGGTGTTGAACTAAATTGTGGGATATAAAATTTCAATTTAGGTGTTTGAAATGATACTGTTTTTGTTTGTAATTCATGCTGTATTGATTTTTGAAAATATGAACTACCAGATTGGCTAGCAATGTTTGGTTGTTTCATTTCATTTGAGGTATTATTTAATATAATATCCTGTTTTTGTTTAGCAATATTAGTTAGTTTTTGAATTTCATTGTGAATGGTCAAAATATTCTTTTGATTATTAAATGTCTCTTTCTTCAACTTGCTTAATTCTATAATGTAACTTTTTAAATCATAATAAATGACATTATCAGCTGTCTTACTTTTAATGTTACACTTTTTTCTAAAAGATTCATTTTGAAGCTCTTTTAAATGAGACTGAAGTTTTTGTAATTTCTCTTCACTCTCTTTAAGTTGTTGTTGCTTAATCTGTAATGCAGGTATTAGAGGATGTTGCTCATAAATTTCTTGATAACTATTCCATTTGTTTTGATAGACATCTAATGCTTGACTGTATTGCAAATTTTCATATTTTCCTTTTTCTATTTCATTTGTCAATTTTATGTTTAATTCACTTTCATGATTTTCTATACACTGCATTAATTGTTTTAAATCATTACATTTCTCTCTTGAAGAAGTAAATTTTCTGTAGACTTCTCTTGTCTGTTCATCTAGTTTTGTTATTGCTTCTTGTGTTTTTTCAGTTTCTTTTTGTAGTATATTATATTCATTTTGTAGATGAAGTATTTTCTGTTTTTCAGCTTGTAAATTTTTTTCTAAATCTTTAGTTTCGTTCAGTACAGCCGTTTCTAATGAAATTATACTTTCTTCAACAGTTTTAGTCATCTTTAATAATAAAATATAATTATTTATTTTGAATTTAAATAAAATGTTTCAATAATTAAATTTTCTATTAATATAAAATCATTTTCTTTACATGATTAGAATAATATAATGTTAAACAGTTTAATAAAATTTAAATTATTTTACAATTATTCTATACACAGAAATAAAAATACATGTAATACTTTAATCAAAATATATTTTTACGTAAGAATTAATTTCAGTGTTTTGATTTTTTATATGAAATTAAAATAATCAAAACATTAAAAAAAATCATTATTATAGTAACATGACTGTGATATAAATCAAATGAACTTAATTGGAAAATTTATTTAATATTTTTAACTATTCAGAGCTTAAGATATAACTTATGAAACTTGTAAGAAAAATTTCTTAAAGAAAATCTGAATAGGAAATAAATATAATGGTTATTCAAAAAATAATTCAAGATTGATTTATAGAAATAATAATTAACCATTATCATTTTGTTTGTTAATCCTTTCAAAATATCTTTTTAAGGTCATACATTTATCCAAATAACTTTTAATTTTTTAAAGTATTTCAGAAAATTATTTACAGAACTGTCACAAATCTTTATAATTTCAACAATTTCAAATAAAATATTTCAGTTTTTTGCCTTGAGAAAAAGTTAGACTTGAAGTTTTTTTTGCCAAAGATTGGAAAGCAAGTTTCAATGAATACAACAATGTTATTTTGAAGTATTCATTCAAATTTCATTTTTTTCCAAACTTTTTTCTGAGTTACATAACATTGATATTTTAGAACTTGTATACATTGTGCATGTGAAATAATTTTTAATGTTTATAGCATGATCTAGGATCACAATATAGAACAGAAAAATTGTGAAGTGAAAAGCAATGATTAAATTATATTCACAGTTAATTTGCTGTGAGTTGAAAACAAACTTTCATCCATTTTTGTGTAAATATTTCAAAATACCACTTTGAACAAATCTCTAGTGAATCTAAATAAATGAACCGTCAATTTATAGATTTATAAAATCTATACATTTGACATATAAAGGAGAAAATTCAAGACCATGTTTGTTTTACAATAGTGGTATGCCTGTAAACAGAGCACTTGCAGAACACAATAGAAGATTAATTTATAGGATACCTTCAGTTGCATAACTAGGAATTTTGGTGGCTTAAAATATGGTGAAGGGCCACCAATGCTTATGGCCTAGCCTCTCCATATTCATTATGACATTTAAATTGAAAATATGAACAGCCACACTTCAAAGTCAAAATTTCAAATGACCCTATCATGTTTTCTAGGAAGATTACACTAGTATTCCAAACAGATCTTGACACATGATAAATAACAATATATTTACAAAGTAAATATTGATGTTCTATATACAGGGCAAGTGAAATGGGTAATATTATTTACTTTTGTGATAATAAATTTAATAAAACTATTTATTAAATAATTCTTAATGTTTTTTGTATCAACACATTAATGTATACATGTATGGTACAATACATTACACTGGAGAAATAAGAAACAGCTACCAAACTGACAATAAATTAAATCATACTAATCCTTAAATAATACTGAAATGAGGAGCAACTATTATTTTTGTTAAATATCCAATGATATCACTTACATATTCTTCCTTGTCATACTTCATGTCATATTATGATGTTCTGCAAAAAAAAAATACAGTAGAGCGTCGATCATCTGAAACATCAATCATCTGAAAGAATTCCAGTCGGCAAATTTAAATTTGCCAGTTTCGTGGCGCTGAAATCTTTGGCTATGTCTGGGCTACTCAAATATTTTGTGTTTTTGATACTAAATTAACTTCTGAAGTATAATTTTTTATTATTTTTATATTTTTCAATATATTTATTTTGTTCATACAAAATAAAAAAATAATTTTTAACGACACAATAGTCTTCGTTAAAAATTATTTTTTTATTTTGACGAAAATTCAATGCATCAACGAAAATTCAATGCAAAGCGACATGCAACGGAGAAAAATGTTAAGATGGGATAAATTAATATATTTTTCGTACATAATCGGTTATCCGAAACATCGATCTTCCGAACAACCCCAGTCCCCAATTGATTCGGATAATCAACGCTCTACTGTATTTATTTTTCTCCCATGAAACATTTTCACTGCTTTTTTTTAATAGTTTCAATAGTACTGAATCCAAATCTGGTAACAGAATTTGGCTAACACCCACCACTTTTGAGAGAAATGAGGTTTTTGAAGGAAAACATTTTCTGTTCAAAGTATATTGGCTATACACATTGCTAATTAGATACAAATAAATTTATGTTAATTATTTCTTTTTCAAATTCTATACATTTAAAAACTGAAACACTTTACAATGAGAAACTTCAGAATATAAAAGGAAGAAAGTCCAGCAATAATCTACTAACATGTTTTCATTCCACTTTCTGTTATACCACTTTTCCATTTGAGAAAGAGAGTGATGAAACCTTTCTCCATGTTCATCAGAAACAGCTCCTAGGTTGACAGGAAAAATATCTAATTACCCAAAAAATTCTTGCTCACATTTTTCAATGTGTCCCATGCTTGAAATTAGGATTCTTCAAAAGCTGTCTTACTGGGGTCCAACAAAAATTCCCTCTACTTTTGCATCACTCAGGTGGGAAAACTTTTGCTTTTGGGTAAGTAGTCTTCTCCTCTGTCCATACCTTTCACAAAGTTTTTCATCAAACCAAGCTTCATATGAAGAGGAGGTAAGAGAATTTTAGTTTCCTAAATTGAGCTATACTCTCCATATAAACTAAGAAGAAGAAAGAACTTTCATTATAAAATGGTGTATGTTAATCAATTTGCTGTAAATTATTAACACAAGAAACAAGAATCGACAAAAACTTGCTTTAAAATATCCCAGTATGAACACCGATTTCCCTTTTAATTAACAGTCCAAACAACTTGTTTATCCACTTGATTTGCCTGTCTATTTGTACCGTTAGTGCCGAGTGAACCTGTAGTCTAGTTAAATTACGGTTTAACCGAGCATTAATTTTAGAATAGAAAAAAATTTTTTTTCTATTCTAATTATTGCTCGATAACATTGGGGATTTTCATGTGTTTACTGGTATTAGGAATAACGAGGCCTGGATCATACCCCACCATGCAATGTGTGGACACACATTGCATGCGCGCATTACTTGATATTTAGCAAATTTAGACATTACATTTGTTACAAAAATTGAAAGATTCATGTATTGTTCTGCTTATTATAAATTCACAGCCATTACTTTCAAGCTCAGTATACAATTATAATCTCTATTTAGCAATGTGGGAACCAAATTTTGAAAAAATTGCTGAAGATTTATCGCAACAAATATCTTATTAAATTTTGTTAGAAATTATTGAAGAATAATTTAAATTTTCTTTATCATTAATTATAATTATTTATGTTTAGGAAATGTAATTTATGCATGTATTGAAATGACTTCTGTGATTTTATATAATATACAGTGGTGCCTCGTATAACGTACGCCTCGAATAACGGACTTTCTGTTTGACCGTTACGTGACTCGAGCAACAGACTTGCTGTGAACAATGGATTTTCCGTTCAGCAGTTACGTGAGACAAACAATGGACTTTTTTTGAACAAGTGCGAATGATGTTTCCACTCTTTTGCTATTGCCAATGACAATCTGCTATTTTTAGGATATATTAGTATTATTAGAATGTATTATTAGTATATCTGAAGTAGAAATGTAATGTAATATATGTTGATGATTTAAATAAACATTAAATGTAATGTAATATATGTTGACGATTCAAATAAACGAAATGTAATTGTGTAGATGCCGAGGTGGCGGGACGAAAAGAGGTTGTAAAAAACAAACGGAGCGAGAGTAGCTCGTAGAAGTGTTTAGTGATCTTAATTAATAAAGAATTATTCGTATCATATAATCTGGCAAGTTAAGTCATTTATAATGCATCATGGCTTCTAAAAAAAATAGAAAGGTGATTTCAATTGAAACAAAGCAAGAAATCATCAGGAGTGAAAGTTGACAAAAACTTTCTTGTTGAATGGGGAGAGGTTCAGGATTTTACCAACACTCATTATCCAAACAGAGCTGAGGCCAACAGGATCAATGATCTCTACAATGACACCTTTGTCCGTCATTTCCGACAGGTGTTAAAGAAGAAAGAGAAACAGACCACCTTGGTCATATTTTTCAAGAAGCCAGCGGGCAAAAAACAAAGGATGGAACAAGAGAGGTTGACCCTGCAAGTTCCGGTAGCCTCTCCTGAATCTGACTCTGATTAAAAAACAATAAAAAAAAGACCCGCTGCAATGTGTAAAAAGTCTGTATCTGTATGAATGTGTAAAGAAAGTGTTCTTCCACCTCCTCCTCACAACATCTGACTACCCAGCATAATTGGTGTCTGTGCCATTTTCATTTTTTATGGTACAGTACGGTTATTTTATGCTGCGGAATGAATTATATGTTTTAACATGTATTTCTATGGGAAAATGCGTTTCGTATAACAGATGTTTCACTTAACGGACGTGCACCTGGAACGGATTAAGTACGTTGTACGAGGCACCACTGTACTTATCAAATAATAATAAATAAATGTATGCACCTGACTAAATTTATTATTATTTATGAAAAATAAGTAATTCACTTTTAGTTATAGTTAGTTAGTTAGAGTTTTTTTATGGCGCTCAGTTATAAGGGCTGTATACATCTAACGCAATAATTATAAAATTTACATACAAAAATATAAGGGGTACATCAACAAAAAAGGTTGAGAATCACTGCTGTAAGTAGTCCTGTAGTTCATGTAGCCACTTCCTCATTTATGATACTTAGAATTACATATCAAGACTGTCTTTTGAAGACAATGTTGATGGAATATGTTTAGTTTCTGAGTAATTTTCCATGTTTCACAGGCATAAATTGCAGTTGGAATGACAATGGTGTTGTAGAGGCATATCTAAATTGCTGTACTGATTGCACATGTGGACCAG